ATGAGACTACACTAAAATGAACCAAAAATAAATTCAGGTTCAGATATGATTATCAACTCATGTATGAAATTACTAAAAAGAGCTATATGTTGATTTAAAATTTGAATTGCTTTTTATTAAATAAAAATAATTAATTAAAATAAAAAAATAAAATTTTAATAATCAAAGAAGTAAAGAACAAATTCTTCAAATTTTGGTAATTTTAGTTATTTAACCGAATTATTTAAAATAATTCAGATAACTGAGTTTGTAATAGAATTTAAAAATCAGTTTGAGTTCAAAATATTATATCCGAAATTTCGGTTATGATGAGCCCCAGTGCCGCAAAATATTTTTATTTTTATTAAATAAAAATAATTAATTAAAATAAACCTTCAAAAACACTTTTCCTTATGTATGTTCCCATTATTCTCATCAGCTTCCAGTGCCGCAACCACCACTCACATGCACACCCATCACACTATTCTTAAGTGGGAAAATATTATTGGACTTGCACACATATTTTTAGCCATTCGAGACTTACAAAATGCATAAAGTAGGTTCAAAATGTACTTGTAATTTCCATCTATAATTGGAATGAAATATGAAACTGTTTACTTTTTCCTTTTTGGGGCTGTTGCAAATCCCTTTCACTTACATTTTTCTGTTTTGCTAATGCTTGGCTAATATTTTCTTTAATGACACTGTTTTACATTGTCATTCATTGGGGTTCATAAACAACACGTTACATTATGGAAGCCCTGAACAATTAGCCCTGTCTTTCTCCACTTTGTTTAGGTGTTAGACTTCTTATAGAGTGCAATTTACCCAATGAGTTGAATAAATCACCAGTATGGTATAAAAATTTAACTAGAATTAGAGGATCAATGGAGAAAGTATTAGGCATCTCATAGTTTTCCTACTTTTACAGTTAGCATATACTTTAATTATGAGGTAATTCAATGGTTAATCAACATAAACAAACAGATTCACTTTAATCGATAATTTAAAAAGGAAAAAAACTTAATTAACAAAAAGTGCTAAGTTAGGTGCCCACCAAAAAATATAAAGGGGAAAGTGGCCATCAGTCCTGACTCCCAAAAAAAATTTGGAGTCCTAACCCAAACGACGCCGTTTTATTAATCCCAGCCCCCCTCCCCTTTGCCTTTGCCCCTGCCCCTTTTGCCTTCGCCTCTTCTCGGATTCTTTCTCCATGCCTCTCAACCCTCCCCTTTGCCGCCCCTCCCCTTTGCCTTTGCCCCTGCCCCTTTTGCCTTTGCCTCTTCTCCGATTTGTTCTCCATCGCCTCTCAACCCCTCCCCTTTGCCTTTGCCTTTGCCTCTTCTCCGATTCCTTCTCCATCGCCTCCTTCTCCATCGCCTCCTTCTCCATCGCCTCCATCGCCTCTCAGCCCCTCCCCTCTGCCTCTTTTGCCTTTGCCTCTTCTCCGATTCCTTCTCCATCCCCTCTCATCTCCATCCACTCCTTCGAATCCTCCGATTCCACTGCAATTCATCATCTCCATCGAAGCGAAGGGACCGAGGACGGTAAGCTCTATCTACCCAAACAAATCGAAAAAATCTCTCTCTTTTTTGTTGGGTCTCTTTCTAATCATCAGTTCCTTGAATTTTTCAGATGCAATCGCGCCATTGACAGTAGCAAAAAGGGAATTGAAGGCAAACGACCTTTTGAAATTATTTTTGTTCTCCGGCAGCAACAGGGTAGAAATTATTTTTGTTTTTGTACTCCAATTTCTTGTTGAATCTGGAAAAGAGATGGTTGATTTTAGGAATTGTTTGTTTATTCAATTAAATTCGGTTGCCAAGTCATTTTTTCTTAACTATTTGATGATAAAATTTTATACTGGTGCCTTGTAAATTATGTAAATTATTTATGCATGCTATAGAATACTAGTATTTTGAGGATTGGAGCATGCAGGTGACTGGAGTATTAATGGTGTTGTCACACTGCTTCCTTTAGAACTGCTTTATGAATTTAGTACGTTTTCCTTGGTGCCCCTGGCTTTGGAGTTTTTCAGATTGGTAGCTTTTATCTGTTCCTTACATTAAGTTTGCAGAATTTAGGCCTGGCTTTATGGTTTTAATTTGAAGATTGTATTTTTGGTTGTTGTATTGTTTGGACAAGGTTAATGCTTGGGAAAAATTCAAGTAGGTGAAAGAAAATTCTTTTGTTATGACAAGTCAGGTCAGATTAGATTTTAACAAATTGAATGGCATGGCAGCAGAGGGCAAATGAAGTTATATTTTGTCTTTACAGCTATTGGTTATCTTTTGCCTTTACAGCTATTGAGGAGCCAACTTAGCAAACGTGAGGTCTCAAGAGGTC